CCACTGATTTTGCGAAGTGGGGGATGACGTGACCCCAGGGATGCTGCAGTGGTCATAAGTGCGAAGAAGGTCATAAGTCACTTGTTTTTTAGTGCCACGGTAACGTCGGTCCGTAAAGGGATGGTTGTAAATTGAGGACTTCCTGTATTGACGTAGCTTTTTTTACCACCCAGATTCCAAGGCATGCAGGTAATCCTCAGCGTAACGACCGCAGTCGTACCCAAGATTTATGTCCTTAAGTGAGACATTTGTTAAATACGTTTCGCCCCATTTTACGACCTTCCGTGCCATCGTTGTTAAGTGAACCACTGCAGTTGTTCAGCCAGTAACACGGTTGTTAAACGAATCTGGCTTCCCCATGGAGTTTGCTTGTCCGAAGGTCGCAAAAGGGGATCACGCAATCCCAGGACATTGAGACCGTCATAAGACGAGTCAGTTGCCAAGCATCCGAATCTTGATCATGTGACCCTGGGGACACTGCAACGGTCCTAAGAGTGAAAAATGGTTGTAACTCGCTTTTTTCAGTGCCATCGTAACTTTGAACAGTCACTAAACAAACAATTGTAACTTGAGGACTAATCTGTATTTTATTCCTTTAGAATTGTTTGTTTTGCAGCCCGGATACGCTGGTTTATAATCATAACAAAGTTTTGACTGACTGGAGCACCTTAAAAAACTTTTCCAAAGTAATTTGTGTTCCAGGGAGAGCTGGGCCCATCCTAGATCCTGGAAATGCCTTTGCAAGTCATTTATAATCTTTGCAGCTAGTCCTGATGAGGTTAGCTAGTTGGGTCATGAAACGTCTGCAAGAAAACCCAGCTCAGACAGTAACAAGGACTTCACAATTGTTATTCACCACTCTTCCTCCTCTTCCTCCTCCTCCTCCTCCTCCCTTCAACAAACCCCACTCCCTTCTACAGTAGTACTGATGATGTTAGCTAGTTGGGTCATGAAACATCTGCAAGAAAACAACCCAGCTCAGACAGTAACAAGGACTTCACAATTGTCATTCACTACTCTTCCTCCTCCTCTTCCTCCTCCTCCTCTTCCTCCTCCTCCTCCTCCCTTCCACAAACCCCACTCCCTTCTACAGTAGTACTGATGATGCTACGTAATTGGATCATGAAATGTCTGCAAGAAAACCCAGCTCAGACAGCAACAAGGACTTCACAGTTTTCATCCACTCCTCCTCCTTCTCTTCTCCTTCTCTCCTCCTCCTCCTCCTCCTCCTCCTCCTCCTCCCTACTTCCCTCCCGCACACCACAACTGGCTGGGGCAGGGGTGGGCAACCTTGGCTCTTTTATGACTTGTGGACTTCAACTCCCAGAATTCCTCAGCCAGCATGGCTCAGCTTGGAAACCTCTCCCTTTCCCCTCAGCATGGCTGGCTCAGGAATTCTGGGAGTTGAAGTCCACTAGTCAAAAAGAGCCCAGGTTGCCTACCCCTGGGCTGGGGAATTCTGGGAGTTGAAGTCCACCCATCTTAAAGTTGCTGAGATCGAGAAACACTGTCCTAAACTACACTTAATTTACTTCTCAGTGTTCCTTCTCATCCTAAATCTGGAGTCGGTCCGCGTTAAGCTCTTCCTCCGCCATCTTTGGTCTTCCTGCTGGTCCCTAGAGGTCTCTCCGCCCGGCCCATTGGTGGCCTCCAGAGGAGAAACAGAATTCTCCATTTTCAGATTGTAAAAATTGTCGCTGGGACTTTCTTAACGTGCAAAATTTCTCTTCCAGATTCACAACGGCCCTCCGCACAGCTCCAACTTCGGGTACGCTTACGCCAAAAGGATGATCGATGTGCAGAACAGGTAGGTCTCACCTGGTCATCCCTGGGAGACAAGGCTAGGTCAGGTTAGGAGAGGGGTAGGCAACCTTGGCTCTTTTATGACTCGTGGACTTCAACTCCCAGAATTCCTGAGCCAGCCTAGCTCAGCTTGGAAACCTCTCCCTTTCCCCTCAGCATGGCTGGCTCAGGAATTCTGGGAGTTGAAGTCCACCAGTCATAAAAGAGCCAAGGTTGCCTACCCCTGCCCCATACCATTACAGACAAGTGGCTGTCCAGTCTCTTCTTAAAAACCTTCCCGTGTTGGAGCATTCACAACTTCTGGTGGCAAGCCGTTCCACTGGCTAATTGTCCTCACTGTTAGGAAGTTTCTTCTTTAGTTCTAGGTTGCCTCTCTCTTTGGTTAGTTTCCATTCAAGTGTGGTCATAATTCAAGGACTGTCTGTACAGGGAACCCTCCAGATATGACTGTTCACTTAGTGACCATTTGAAGTTATGATGTTCCCCCCCCTCCCCAAAAGACTACTTACAACCTCGATGCAAAGTTTTGACAGCCGCCCGCCTCTCCCAGCCTTGCGGTCACACACATTTGAGTGTTTGGCAATTTAAAGCTGTTTGCAAAGTCGTGTCATCTTGTAACCATGATTTGCAATGTTCTGGCTTGTAGCAAGAAGCGCCTATTTGTCAAGATATTGATTTAACAGCTAACCAGCTTATATAATGTAAGATATAAGATGAAATGATGGGAATGACTCAGCAGGGTCTGTATCTCTTTAAGAGCCAGCAGGGTCTGAGTCTCTTTAAGAGCCATTGTATAAAGGGAAGGCTCTGCTGATGTGTTCTCTCTCTTCTGTTTCCTGCTGTAACTGTGGTTTGTTGGATCCTGCTGTATCAGCACATGTATGTATATTCCAGGTGTATGATATTATAGATAGTGTAAGATAAACCATCATTTAATACAGACCACTATTTACTATGTTTATTACTGGGTTATCTCGCGCAATAAGGCTATGCTCTGACACTATTTTTGGACAATAGGTGTACTTAACGACTGCTGAGCTCACTTAACGACCGCCGTAGAAAAAGGGTCACAAAATAAGATTGGTCATGCGATGACTCGCTTAACGACCGGCCTGACCTACGACCATAATGCCAGGTTCAATTATGGTCGTAGGTCAAGGATCACCTAATTCTGTGCCATTCAGCACCCCAGGTGTTCTGCCAGGTGTTCCCAATTTCCTTTTCTTCCGCCAGGGCCTACTTCGAACAGCATGGATGCCACTTCACTGCCGCCATCCCGACGAACATCTTTGGGCCTCACGACAACTTCAGCATCGAGAATGGACACGTCCTGCCGGGCCTGATCCACAAAGTGTACCTGGCCAAGAGTGAGTGAGAGAGAGAGAGCAGGAAGGTGATGGGTGTGTCTGTGTGTGTGTCCCTTGCCCTGCCCTCTAACACAAAACCATTTGGGAGATCCAGTTTGGTCTAGTGGTTAAAGCACCAAGGTAGAAACCAGGAGACGGTGAGTTCTAGTCCCATCTTAAGCATGAAAACCTGCTGGGCAACGTTGGGAAATGGTGAGTTCTAGTCCCGCCTTAAACAGGAAAACTGACTGGGTGGTTCTGGGTCAATCACCAGGAGACGGTGAGTTCTAGTCCAGCCTTAGGCATGAAAACCAGCTGGGTGACTTTGGGCCAATCACCAGGAAATGGTGAGTTCTAGTTCCGCCTTAAGCATGAAAACCAGCTGGGTGACTTTGGGCCAATCACCAGGTGACTGTGAGTTCTAGTCCCCCTTAGGCATGAAAACCGGCTGGGTGACTTTGGGTCAATCACCAGGTGACTGTGAGTTCTAGTCCCGCTTTAGGCATGAAAGCTAGTTGGGTGACTTTAGACGAATCACCAGGTGACTGAGTTCTAGTCCCCCTTAGGCATGAAAACCAGCTGGGTGACTTTGGGCCAATCACCAGGTGACTGTGAGTTCTAGTCCCCCTTAGGCATAAAAACCGGCTGGGTGACTTTAAGCCAATGAGTAGGAAATTTTCTTAGTCCCTCCTTCTGCATTAAAACTGTCTGGCTGACTTTAAGGCAGTCCCTCTCCCTCAACCCAACCCACCTCACAGGGTTGCTGTTTGGGGTAAAACAGCAAAAGGACGTGTGTGTTGGATATAACCGCCACCTTGTGTTATTTGTAAAAAAAATAAAAGTTGAGATGCAAATAAAAAAAATTCTCTGTACTCTAGAAAGAGTACAGAGAAGACCAACAAAGATGATTAGGGGACTGGAGGCTAAAGCATACAAGGAACGGCTGCTGGAATTGGGTATGTCTAGTTTAATGAAGAGAAGGACCAGGGGGGACAGGATAGCAGTGTTCTAGTATCTCAGGGGCTGCCCCAAAGAAGAGGGAGTCAAGCTATTCTCCAAAGCGCCTGAAGGCAGGACAAGAAGCAACGGGTGGAAACTAATCAAGGAGAGAAGCAACCTAGAACTAAGGAGAAACTTCCTGACAGTGAGAACAATTAGCCAGTGGAACAACCTGCCTCCAGAAGCGTTGAATGCGCCAACACTGGAAGTTTTTAAGAAGAGACTGGACAGCCATTTGTCCGAAATGGTCTAGGGTTTCCTGCCTGAGCAGGGGGTTGGACTAGATGACCTCCAAGGTCCCTTCCAACTTTATCATCATCATCATCATCATCATCATCATCATCATCATCATCACCACCACCACCACCACCACCATTATTATTATTATTATTATTATTATTATTATTATTATTATTATTATTATTATTATTATTATTAAAATAACTGAACAACAGAATTGGAAGGGACCTCGGAGGTNTTCCAGTATCTCAGGGGCTGCCCCAAAGAAGAGGGAGTCAAGCTATTCTCCAAAGCGCCTGAAGGCAGGACAAGAAGCAACGGATGAAAACTAATCAAGGAGAGAAGCAACCTGGAACCAAGGAGAAACTTCCTGACAGTGAGAACAATTAACCAATGGAACCACCTGCCTCCAGAAGCGGTGAATGCTCCAACACTGGAAGTTTTTAAGAAGAGACTGGACAGCCATTTGTCTGAAATGGTATAGGGTTTCCTGCCTGAGCAGGGGGTTGGACTAGATGACCTCCAAGGTCCCTTCCAACTTTATCATCATCATCATCATCATCATCATCATCACCACCACCACCACCACCACCACCACCATTATTATTATTATTATTATTATTATTATTATTATTATTATTATTATTATTATTATTACTACTATTATTATTATTATTATTAAAATAACTGAACAACAGAATTGGAAGGGACCTCGGAGGTCTTCTAGTTCAACCCCCTGCTCAAGCAGTAAAGGAAAATAAATAAATAAATGCAGAGCATCGTGATTTGGCTCAATGGGAGACCTGGCAGGGGAGGGGTGCCTTTAACAGAGGGGCTCCTGCCGTATTCCCACCATCTCTAGTTTAAGAGAAGGAAAGAGAGCCCGACAAAGGAACCATCGAGGGCTCCTTCTGGCTCCTTCCCCCCTCCCTTCCTCTGGGCAATCGAGGATCATAAATAAATCAAATAAATCTGAGCGATGTGGCTGCAGGTCAGACTCCTGGCAGACACTCCGTCTGAGCTAGAATCCTGGCTCCGAACAAGCCAAGATTGCCGGCGCATCTGCTAAGCATTTTCGCCTCCCTCTGCTCTCGTTCCTGGGCTGAATCCCACAGACGCTGCTGGGGCTGCCAGAAACCTCGTGGTGCTGCATTTTGATGCGAGGTTAGGCTGCGCAGGCTTTGAAATTGGGGCAGGGGGAAGCGACCCCTCTCGGCTGTCCCTACAACGGCCCAGAGGGGCGTGGGAGAAAAATAACGACTCTGAAGTCCAAGCAGTCCTCGGCTTACAACCGTTCATTTCGCGACCGTTCGGAGTTACAACGGTGTCGAAAAAAGCGACTTGGGCACCTTTTTTTCACACAACCGTCGCAGCCTCCCCGCGGTCATGTGATCAAAATTCAGACGCTTGGCCCCTGACTCGTATTTACGATGGCTGCATCGCCCGGGGTCACGTGATCCCCTTTGGTGATCTGACAAGCAAAGTCAAAGGGAGGAAGCCGGTGTGAAAAACCGTGTGAAAAATTTAAGAACCGCAGTGATTGACTTAAGAACTGTGGCAAAAATGGTCATTTTTTTTCAGCGCCGTTGTAACTTGGAACGGTCACTAAGCAAACTCTTGTAAGCTGAGGACTACTTGTGCTAAATAAGAAAATTAAATGTTGAGACTCTGGAAAGAGTACAGAGAAGAGCAATAAAGATGATTAGGGGACTGGAGGCTAAAACATATAAGGAACGGTTGCTGGAATTGGGTATGTCTAGTTTAACGAAGAGAAGGATGAGGGGGGACATGATAGCAGTGTTCCAGGGGCTGCCCCAAAGAAGAGGGAGTCAGGCTATTCTCCAAAGCCCCTGAAGGCAGGACAAGAAGCAACGGATGGAAACTGATCAAGGAGACAAATAACCTAGAACTAAGGAGAAACTTCCTGACACTGAGAACAATTAACCAGTGGAACCACCTGCCTCCAGAAGCGGTGAATGCTCCAACACTGGAAGTTTCTAAGAAGAGACTGGACAGCCATTTGTCCGAAATGGTATAGGGTTTCCTGCCTGAGCAGGGGGTTGGACTAGATGACCTCCAAGGTCCCTTCCAATATTATTATTATTATTATTATTATTATTATTATTATTATTATTATTATTATTATTATTATTATTATTATTATTATTATTATTATTATTATTATTATGTCAAAGGGAGGAAGCCCAATTCACTTAGCAACCATGTGAAAAAATTTAACAACCGCAGTGATTGACTTAAGAACTGTGGCAAAAATGGTCATCTTTTTTTCAGCGCCGTTGTAACTTGGAACGGTCACTAAGCAAACTCTTGTAAGCTGAGGACTACTTTTGTTAAATAAGAAAGTTAAATTGGCATCAAAGGAGGTTTTATGGAAATGAGCTGCAGGGGGAAGGCGGACATTTCCCGCAGGAAGAATTGAGGAAGGCAGGAGATGCTGTATCTGACGGTGAACTTTCTCCGTGCTTTTCCTCCAGAGAACGGCACTGACGTCACCGTCTGGGGGACGGGAAAGCCTCGGAGGCAGTTCATTTACTCTCTGGTAAGCCTAATCGCCCCGCTGCACGTTGGGGAACGGAGGCAGAAATTCAAGTTCAATCTGAGGGTGGGCAACGCGAAAGTTGACTTCAAACGGTGCCACGAGAGTTTTAGACGCAGCTTGCCCCCAACCAACAACTGCAACGGAGCCTCCCCATTGCTGTCGTTTTGTCAAGCGCCAGGGAAATTTAACGAAGTTTAACGAAGAGAAGGACGAGGGGGGACATGATAGCAGTGTTCCAATATCTCAGGGGCTGCCCCAAAGAAGAGGGAGTCAAGCTATTCTCCAAAGCGCCTGAAGGCAGGACAAGAAGCAACGGATGGAGACTCATCAAGGAGAGAAGCAACCTACAACTAAGGAGAAACTTCCCGACAGTTAGAACAATTAACCAGTGGAACAATCTGCCTCTAGAAGCGGTGAATGCTCCAACACTGGAAGTTTTTAAGAAGAGACTGGACAGCCATTTGTCCGAAATGGTATAGGGTTTCCTGCCTGCCTGAGCAGGGGGTTGGACTAGATGACCTCCAAGGTCCCTTCCAACGTTGTTATTATTATTATTATTATTATTATTATTATTATTATTATTATTATTAAATTGGGAGATTCGGGCAGTTCGAATGTGTATAAAGATTTATGTTAGCTTAAGCTCTTTCATTTGTGGCTTGGTGGCCTGACTGGGTGGATGGGAGAGGGGAACCACGCCAGCGCAATTAGCAACACAACTGAATTTCCTACTGTTTGTAGGTAGCATCCCATGGACACCATACCGCATTTTACGATAGCTTTGTGGAAAACTGACACTTCCAGTGTCAGACAAATACTATTTCGGGCAAATGGCTGTCCAGTCTCTTCTTAAAAACTTCCAGTGTTGGAACATTCACCGCTTCTGGAGGCAGGTTGTTCCACTGGTTAATTGTTCTCACTGTCAGGAAGTTTCTCCTTAGTTCTAGGTTGCTTCTCTCCTTGATGAGTTTCCATCCGTTGCTTCTTGTCCTGCCTTCAGGCGCTTTGGAGAACAGCTTGACTCCCTCTTCTTTGGGGCAGCCCCTGAGATACTGGAACACTGCTATCATGTCCCTTCTGTCCCTTTTGGCGCGGAGAAGAAACCCGAGGGAGCCGAGACCTGGATGCGTTTTTGCTGAAAACAGGAAGTGTCAGTTTCCCACAAAGCTATCACAAAATGCGGTGTGGTGTCCACGGGATGCTACAAAGAGCGGCTAATTACCTGAACGTTGCTCACACGAGCGCAGAGGGGGCCCAACTGCATTTGAATCTGGGTCACCAGTGCTCCTTTTGGGGTTGGTCGTAACTTGGAACGGTCGCTAAGCAATCTGTCGTACGTCGAGGACTATTACCAGTATTACCAGTTTCTTCTCTTGGGCCTTTCAGGACCTGGCTCGGTTGTTCGTGTGGGTCTTAAGGGAGTACAGTGAAATAGAACCCATCATCCTGTCAGGTAGGTGCCCCTGCGTTCCGAACACGGGAGGTTCGGTCTGGAGCCTCTCCTTGTTGAAAAAAATAAATAATAATAATAAATCAGATTTTGTTTTTGTGACGACCCATCTGCTGCCTCTCTTGCTTACTGTTTCTCGCCTGCTGCTTGTGCAAAGAGAGCTGTGCGTGCTTGCGCGTGCGCCTGCTGTTCACACAGAACCACGACTTCTTGCCCGCCCC